TCGTTTAAATAATGTTCTCCATGTTCCTGCAATGAAGCATAATCTTCTCTCTACTTATCAATTCCTAAGAGATAATCACTGCAAATTAATCGTTGATTCTGATGGATCTAAAATCAAGGATCGTATTTTGGGAAAGGTGCTTTTTCGGGGGCCAGTTAAACATGGCTTCTATCCGTTTCAAGGCACACCGACTGCATTCAACTCTCATTCGGCGCTTGTGAGTACTAAAGCTTCTTTGCAAGTTTGGCACAACAGACTTGGTCATCCATCATCTGCCATCTTCAGGAAAACTTTAAATAATAGTTCTATTGCCTATACTGGTAAAAAGTTCACTTCCTTCTTTTGTTCAGATTGTGCCATTGGCAAGAATCACAAACTGTCATTTACTACCAGTGTTAGTTTAGTGTCTGTTGCTTTAGAACTTGTGCATCGTGATGTCTGGGGCCCTGCACCTACATTTTCTGTCAGTGGTTATAGATATTATGTTTTGTTTGTTGATGAGTTTACCAAGTATAGCTGGATCTTTCCATTGAAACTCAAATCTAAAGTGTATTCCATATTTGTTCATTTCAAGAGCTATGTAGAAAACTTGATTGGCAATAAAATCAAAGTTCTCCGAACGGATTCAAGGGGTGAATTCACCAGTTCTACTTTTAAATCGTTTCTACTACAACATGGTATTATGCATCAGCTTTCTTGTCCTCACACACCCGAACAAAATGGTTGTGTTGAGAGGAAACATAGGCATCTCACAGAAACTTACCAAAAACTAGTGAAAATGATGTTAGTTTAGGACATAAGGTGTGGCAAAAACTTACCAAAAACTGGTGAAAATGAAGTATTTATAGGAAGGTGGCAGGCCTAGGGTGTAGAATTTTAGCCTAACATGGCGGCATCCCATTGACCAAGATGAGTCATCCATAGGATGGATGAGAAAAGAATAATCTCAAAGATATTTTATTGTTAAATAATATTTTGAGATTATCTTGGAAATATCCTTGATTGAATATGATTGTTATTCATCACTCGATGAAGTTGACCTTCAATTAGGAAGGGATAAAGATAAAATTTAGTAATTAATCTTATCTTTAATACCTTTTCTGAGCAAATATGAGACTCGCCAATTTAATGAGGACGTCATTCACCACTTGTAAGTAAAAATTTACATGTCTGCTCCAGAATTTTATGTACTATTTTTTGCTCCATAATATATGCTCAAACTTATGTGGCTATACCAACTCTACTGGTACAGTTATAGCATATTTTGGAAGCAGAGCACCCAGCCAGGGCTCGTTTACAGAAACCCAACATGAATTTATGGCAAGGCAGAGGGGGAGCACAGAAACTAGAAACTAGGCTTGGTATCACCCTAAGGCCAAGGCAAGACTTTTTGGGCGCACAATAAGAGCATCCCCAGCGTTTCATTTAGCTCGGGGGACGGGCTCCAAAACGGAGGCCCGAGTGAAGGTGGATCGGCTCCAGCGTGGGGAAGCCGGGGGGAAGGGGGAGGCCCGAGGGCCAGGCCCGTGAGAAATTGACAGGCCTTGAGCCCGGGGTGGGAGTGACGGCATGCTGACGCCAGGGTGGCGTCAGCGCATTATTTAATTTTTTTTGTGTCAGGCGCGTGCACCCCACGCGCGCGTGGGGGCGCGTCCCAACAAAAAAATCAGAAAAAAAAGGCTTTTGTCAGTTACCGTTGGGAAGCCACGTGGCTTCCCACGGTCCGTTAGATCTTAATGGTCACTTAATGTGGACCGTTAGATCTGAACGGTAAAAAAAAAAAAAAAGTCAGATTTAATATCCACCGTTAGATCTGAGATCAACGGTGGATATTAAAATGCTTTATAAATTAAAAAATAAATGAAAAAATAGTTTTAAAAATCTGAAAAGTTACCGTTGTGACACGTGGCACAATCTGGAGCGTTGGAATTCAAATTTTTTTATATCCAACGGCAGAGATTAATTAATTGAATAAAAATTTTAAAAAAATTGTAAAAAATTCAAAAAAATTCAAAAAAATATCTGAAAAATCTGAAAAAAATTGTAAAAAAAATTGTTTTTACTTTTCTATAAATACCTTCTCATTATTATCTACCTTACACAACAATTTCATATTTTCTCAACTACTTTCAATCACATTCCTTTCAATCACATTCCGTCACCAATAATTGTATTATAATTATTTATTTTGTATTATTTAATAATACTTAGGATAATGACACGTGGCGCAACGAGAACGATTAAAAATCTTATCCGATATTACATTTAAAATTATTTTGTATTAATTTTATAAATAAAAAAAATATTAATATTTTATTGCCTATTGCCAGGGCTATAGAAGTGTAACGGTGGAGATGCAAAACCTATTGCCAGGGCTACTTACTGTTCATTAAGGGCAATTACTGTTCATTAGGTGGATTGAATAGTGTATTGCCAGGGGGGAGGGCTCCAACGCTGGAGTTGCTCTAAGGTATAGTTTTAAACACACTAATTACACAATAATATGGTTTAAAGTCTTTTGGGGAAAAGCTGCTTCATTTTTTATTTGATTCCTTCTGCTCTTAAATCACACCATTCCAATAAAGTTGTCTACTTTAATAACCAAAAAAATTAAAAATAAATAATAACATATATTTATTAGGAATATATATACATAATGACCCTCACCTTTTAATCATATGAGTAATGAGTTTGACACTTCACATTACAATTTAATGATATTATTTTTCATTTATGAGTGAGAATTCTTAAATTTTATTTTCAAAAATACTAATTATTATGACTATTTCATTATTTCGTTTAGCTCAAATCTTTATCTTTTTAGTGCATAAATTTTTAGAATTAATAATAATATTAAAAAATAAATAAATCTTATGAGTCATTTCACCACCAAGTTGTTCATGTTAATTAAGTATTTTATTGTTGCTTTTCAGATTCTATGCTTTAACGCCAACATCTTCAAAAGTAAATTTAACCGTATGCCAAAAACATCAAAGGATGGAAACCTTGCTTTGCTTGGTAACCGTTGCTAAGTACAGAGTATGGACTGTGGGAATCAAAGACTTAACAATTCGAAAATCAGTACTATTGAAAACTGAAGGAATACCAATTCAAATTTTGGGTAGGACATTTGAATATAAAAAAGAGTTTAAAATGTGGGGAAAATGACAAAATAATTGTAATCTTAAACGTGTAGGTGAAAGTTGAATATTTGGCCACCTACTTATGCTGATGATGACTTACATGATACAGGTATACTGTCACGTTGACATTTTATGTTAATTGACACAAGACGCCACACCATGTAAGTAGTTATCCTAGTAAAAGTTGTAGTGAGATTTATGACAATTGTTAGGTTGGCATATGTTGTTGGTCAACTACCTAACAGTTTAAGTTTGTAGGGTTGAATTGTTATCTAACTTGGTACAACGTTCTAACTTTGGGAAGTTGTGGTATCAAGCTTAGAGTACCCACCTAATGAAGGATATTAGCTTCATACCCTATATAATTTCCCATCATCTATATTTGGAGCCTCCAAAACTTCGAACTCACCCTCCATTCATAACCAAAAGCTTGTTTTGCACTATATGAAGCGTTTGAGTGTTAAAAACTTAAATTGTAATGCTTATGTTGTAATGTTGTAGTGTTCTTTTTTTGTCAGCGATAAGAAATTTGTTAGATTTGAATGAAAAAATTTACATTGGATGCTAGCGTATTAAACAACTACAGGGCCCAACCTGATCCCATCAATGAAAACCACCATTATGTGACACAAAAGAAGCTACAAGGTGCGATACCCGGTTACAATCATAGAGAGCAAACACAAACACTATACTAACCTCAGTTGTTGTCTAAGCCTTAGTATATCATAAAGCAGACCTTTTAATACGACTTCAAACTGGATGTTTCCATTTATCATATCGATTAGTGTCTTCGAATCTGACTCCACTTCAAGCTCCATGAGTCCTTCCTCCATACAAACTATTAGAAGCCCTCGCCGCCTCCGCCTCCGCCTCCGCCATGAGACTAGACGTGCATGGAAATTATGCCACCATACCACCATGACACCAGCTGCTTGAAACCAACCAGCTTATGTTGTAATGTTGAGTCTTAGTTCACCCTCCATTCATAAGGATTCTATTCAAATATTCATGTTGTAATGTTAAGTGTTAAGAGACTTAGGGCTGGTTTGGTATTGCTGTGCTTTGAAAAAAAGCTGCTTCTGCTGTGCTGTGAGAATAAGCAGCAGTGAAATAAAGCAGCAGAGTGTTTGGTAAACTTTTTTGTAAAAGTGCTTTTGAAAAAAAAAAAGCAGTATTAGAGTGTTTGGTAAACTTTTATGCAAAACAGATGTGAAAAAAAGCCGGTTTTTCAAAGCTGGGTTTTGCAGCTTCTTGTTTTTGGCTTTTTTTCACCCAAAACTGTGAAAAAAAGCTGAAGCTGAGTGTTTACCAAACACAAAAACAGCTCCCAGCTTTTTTTGATAGCAGCTTTTTTCAGAATCACCTCAGTACCAAACCAGGTCTTAAATTGGGTTGATACCCCCATGAGATTTCCCATCATCTATATTAACTGACCTAATCAAGGTTCTACCTCGCATTCAATTATAGTGTTCCAGTGTTAAAGAAAACAAATGATGGGTTCAAAACAAAAATTTCCCATCTTAGAACTACACTAGCACAGGTACCCGCGCGATGCTGTGAGGTTTAAAAGCGAGTATAAAACATACAAAAGTTCTATATGTATGTACAGTCATCTTAGGTGTTCAACGGTGGGATTTACAATCCTATATACACAAATTTCCATGAAATCAATTGAAAAACTTGACAGTTGCATTGCTATTGCTCTAGTGCTTTGCATTTAGTGCTATCTACTTATACGAAGAAAAAAAAAATTAGCATTTGCTATATATTTTCTTTAAAATTTTAGGCATGATTAATATTCACATTTTCAACAATATATAGGTTGGCAACATACACGTACTAAAGGCACAAACGATCAAATGGAATTACATGACATTCACAATGCTCTTGTCTGATACAATCTGATCTCAACCAAAATCTAGTGTCATTTACATGAAAGGAAAAAAGGTGTAGTAGTAATATACCCATAAATCATAATATGATGCAGGAAGAGCCTTGCCTTTTTCAGCACCAAGTTCCCAAGGAACAATCGGCCCTCGGATAATCATGTCAGCATCCACAATCACAACCCCATTAACATTCGCAGCATCTACTGTGCTAAAGCCAGTGCACAACTCCAACTGGTTTGTTAATTGCAGGGTACCTGCAAAATTAGCATCTTAATTAAAACTTAATCGTGAAAGCAAAGTCCTTCCATTTAAATCAAATCCATCAAATTAAATGAACAACTAATTCCAACCCAGAATTCAAAATTCAAACTTTATATCAAATTAAGGAAAAAAATTAAAAATTTAAGCTCACGTCAGTCGCCAGTTTTTGGGTACCTACTCATGGAAGTAACCTAAAAAATGGGAGCCAAATGCATCCTTTTGTACTTCTTATTGTCTCCTCATCTTCCTATTTGTAAAGTCCATAAAGCTCGAATCAGAATTCCTTCAATATATTTCCAGATTTTGCAATTCGAGTGGACACGTTTTTTTAATGAACATACCAAAATATTAGTAGTGGACATAGATGATTAAAATCAGTAATAAAAAACTAAATAAAAGCAAGAAAGACAAAATTTGATGATTGATAAGACTTACAAATTCCCATCTTTACGACCTCAACCCAGATCACCTTCTCGAGTGTTGAAGGTACAGTGATCCAACACCTGATTTTATCAAATTCAACAAACAAAACCATCAACAAAAACATTTTAAATTTAAAAATAAATTACAAGAAAGGAAAATTTGAATTTCTAGAGACGGAGAGAGATTGAACCTGGAAAGTCTCGTGGTAGGTGTTAAGGTGGCGGTTGAGACAACGAATCGAGCTGGGCGAGGAAAGATTTTTCAGTATGATCGGGTACATGAGGTGGGACATCACGTGTCATTATACAAATGGTGGGATATATGTGCTAAAAAACTAATAACTTAAAAAATAAAATTTCCCACTACTTCTATTGAAACACGTAATGTACCATTTGTGTACCCGTCATAATTAAAAATTTCTCCAGACGAGGTGGGCTATGGAGACAGCGAGAGGAAGCTCGCGGTGGTGACAGCAAGGTGTGCGAGGTTGACGTCAAGAAGAGACGTCGCGCGAGGTGGGGGAGGTTGGGTAGAGTTTAGGGAGCTCTCTGTTGCCATGTTGGATTACAATTTTTTTTTTTTTTTTTTTTTTTTTTTTTACAATCCAACATGCCAAATTGTGCCATGTGGGCACAATGGCTATATGCCAATTTTTCTGATTTTTTTCCTTCTTTTTTTTTTTTTTGAAAATTTTAACCCCAAAATTGTTGACAAAATCTAGATCGTGGGATGATATAGCAGTTACAAATCTAATAGACCAAATCACGCTAAATGTCATAGCCGTCGGAACTGAATTTAAAAAAAAAATTGGTGGAAATCCAATGTTTAAGATGTTTTAAGGTTAGAAATCCTACGGTCCACGTCGTCCTAGATCTCTTTGAGCGTAGTGCCCTACAACACGAGCCCCACACGACTTTTTTATCCCCATGTGTCAATCATGCGCACGTGTATTGCATGCGTTTAACACCAAATAAAATTAAAAATGTGACTGACGTGATGCTGACGTTAGATAGGGGCACCCGAACAAGGGGTGGGGCACGAATTGCCTGATTGCCCGGTCCGGCGGGCTTGGGTCCACTCAATTGCCCGACTTTATCATGGGCTGGGCTGTTTTGGACAGAGTTTGGGCAATACGCGATTTCTCAGCATAGGCTGATCAGTTTAGCGATCAGTAAATGTTAGGCCCACAACTTATAAAATGAACCTTAAGTAGCCCGAAAGCGCCAATATGCAGAAATTTGAAATTTCCAGTGCTTCCCTCACCATCTCTGCTGTGTGGTGTGGGTTCAGGTGCCTCTCACTCCGCTCCTACTCATGGAGACCAAAATCCCAATTTCAAACCGCAAAACCCAAATCCCCAGTTGAATGATTTCCCCCCATTTCCTTCTTCTTTTCGAATTCACTTTTTTCCCTCCTCCCTCCCTCCATAGAAATGCCGCTTAGACGCCGCCATGGACGGGGAGGCTAACCTTCCAGTCCGACCCGCTGCGGCGAGGAATTTGATCCGTCCGGTCAACCTGGATTCCACATCGTCATCGTCTTCGTCGTTCTCGTCCTCCTCCCCGCCGAACTTTCTCCGGAATGTCCAGGCGGCCTTCAAGCGACACCGCCCTCTCGGTAACTCTCTCTTCCTTTATTAATCTTAAAGAAGTAATTTAGGGTTTCATTTGTGTTTTTTTTTTCTTAACTTTTGGGTGAAATTGGGAATTCGATATTTTGGCTTTTCTCGTTAGGGTTCTATATTTTCTTGATAAAAACAAAGTTTGAAATTTTGGGTAAAGTTTTTGTGGTAAAGCATCTGTCTTTGAAAGTGAGCTGATGAGATTTGGTTCTACTGACCCTTGTATGCTTTGTGATTATGTCAAAAAAAGCCGGCGGACCATTTGTTTCAATTTGGGGACTTGGGGTTAAAACTTTGATGTTTAAAGAAATTCAAAACATCTATTTCTATGATTAAGATTAGATTTTTTGAATTACCTTGTTAGTTTTTCAAATGCAATGAGTGAATGCACCCTTAAAAATTCTCCAAGTGCTGATTTCGAGAAATATTTAGGAGTAATGCAGTCAAATAGCATAAGACCCCGGCGTATGGTGCTCCCCCAGCGAAGCGTATCCAAAAGTGCGGATTCAAGTGTGGCTCCTCTAGTTGAATCAAAGCAGTTGAGAGATGCAGCTTCAATGAGTCAGGGTAATACTGCAAAGGATTCAATTGCGCAGCCAAACAACATGAAGGAAACTCAAGAAGATGCATCTATTACACCATTTTCCACTTCAGGCGTTAGCACCCAAACCTTTGATGAACGATTAAATCCATTTGATGCGCAAATAGATCAAGCCAAAATTGGCGTTAGTGGTAAAGACAATAACTTGATGTCTCCCTTGCACTTGGAGTCCCAACAGATTGATGGTAAAAAAAAGGTCCAATTTTCAACTGGAAGCGTTCCCATTCCCCAGGGTAATTATTCTTTCTCCTGAATCTGCTGGTTTTGATTTCTGTGCTTTGGTGCTTTTTAGGCGTCTTTGTTTGTGACATTGTACCATTTATTGCTAATATTCCATAGAATATCAAAAACAATTTCGAATTTCGAATTTGTCGCTTAACATGCAGGGGCCGATGATCATATGGCCACTGAAATGGAGTTATCATCTTACATGCGTTCGCTTGCGTTAACAGAAATGGAGTGGATTTCCGGCAGTCAAGTGGATAGATCAGCTGTCACCAATCTTGACTCAAAGCATCAGAATATTCAGAACATGGAATCCGATGTCTGTTTGAAGTCTGATGGTGGAATTTCTTCTTCATTGGCAAAGAGAACAACTGCCATTCAGGACCAGTTGCATCAGTTTAGGAACTTCTTAAGCCAGCCTGCGACTCAATCCTCAGTTGTCGGGCCATCTTGTGCTACAACAACGTCTGTCCATGCTACTTCAGCACCCATGCTTAGTACAACAACTTATTGTTCTCATTTTCATAGTGGTCCTCATGTGGCAGTCGATCCTCAAGCAGTAACTCAAGGGAATATGATGCATCCGGCAAAAGCTTCTTTAAAAGTCACCAGTGGAATGTCACCTGCCCAGGTAGCTGTTGCAGACCAAAGTTGTAACTCTGCAATTGATACCCAAATGCAAGTTAAGGAGTATGAACTCTCTAAGGATCCAATTGGCTGCGTGTCGAAGGAAAGTAAGATTACAGAACGTCATTCTCTTCTTGATGACAAGTCAACTGAAGGGAAAGGGCTTGCATGTGATGTTACGAATCCACCATCACAGGTTCCTTTGCCCCAAAATTCATGTGCCGATATGAAGTCAGAGCCTTCTAAATCAGAGAAGCAACAAAAGGCTGCAAGTAGTAAAGGTGCACCAGCCCCTCGTAAAAGGAATTATGATCCGGAATTGTTTTTTAAAGTCAACGGGAAGCTCTATCAAAGGCTCGGAAAAATAGGTAGTGGAGGGAGCAGTGAGGTCCACAAAGTCATATCATCAGACTGTACAATCTATGCACTTAAGAAAATCAAGCTGAAAGGGCGTGATTACGCCACTGCTTTTGGCTTTTGTCAAGAAATTGAGTATTTGAATAGGCTGAAGGGAAAAAACCACATCATACAGCTTATTGACTATGAGGTATTCACTCTCAACCTAAATTGTTCATACGATAACATGCAGATCATTGCATCTACAGCGTTGCTATATTATGTCACTGTAATAGTATGCAATTCAAATTTTCAAATCCTGCAATTGAGATGAGACCTAAGATGGTAATGAAGTCTTTTAAGTTTCAAATTAGAGCGTTGGCTGTAGAGTCTTGATCTCAAGATGGCCAAAATCATCTCAAGTCATAATGGATTTTCGAAGGAATATTTCATAATATAGCTCAACATAGCCAAGAGGAGCATCAGATGGCTAGAATGGTAGTTGATAAAGTGGCTTGATTAAAGTGAATGGCCCGAAGGAGATTGAGGTGGCATTGGAGTAGGCCAGGTTATATATAGGTGTCTAAAATAATGGAGAAAATGATTAACTATCTGCTCTCGACATCTAATACAATGAATTTTGTGTTGTGCATTCTTCTTAGAGCAAGTTATACCTGTGATATTGCTGGCCATTTTGCAATGTACAATGTATGTGATGGAAAATTAGAAACCCAAATATATGTACCGACAAGTGGAAATCCTTTTGTAACAATTGTATTTCCTAATTTGATATTCCTGTTGGTTTATTTATAATAATTTTAATATTTTATACAATAATATGGATGAAATTCACAGAGAAGATGCCTATGTACATGGACACAGATTGAGGAGACAGAGTTATTTTGATACTGAAGGTGCTGATATGGAAATCCTAAGACGATAGGACTCTTTGGAATGATCAATATTTATTTTTTATGGGTTTTCCATGTCTAAAGTAGGATCTTTGCAGGCTGTATTATAATTCTGATTCCTTTTTTTGTATTAGGTGACAGATAAGGCTTTGCTCCATGAGGTCTTGAGTGGCTCCATGAATAATAAGGATGGCAGAGTCAAGGATGATGGGTATATATACATGGTACTTGAATATGGGGAAATTGATTTGGCTCACATGCTGTCTCAGCAGTGGAAGGAAATGGACGTCTCCAAAAAGACCATAGATGAGAATTGGCTACGATTCTACTGGCAGGTATATGTGCTAAGTACCTTGATTTATAGTTGGTATATTTTGCAGAGATTTTATTTATGCTTTTTGTATTCAAAATATAATTTTCTGAAGGTTCACTCGTTCTCAAGTAGTTGGATGATTAGGTAGTTACTCATGTTGTTTGGTTAGTGATATTCTTTGGGGCACTTGTTAGGTTTTTTTATTGATAGGATCCATACAGGTGCTGTTGGGAATTGTTATAAGCACTCCAAAATTGTCACCCTACCCTCCTTCCTCTCTTATTTCTCACTAAGGAGTGCGGGATGACTTTGTTGGAGTACTAATAAGAGTTCCCTAATTTTAATAAGAATGTGTTTATTTTTCCTTCTCAAATATTGGATTCTTTTTTTGGGTAACACTCTATAATGTTTTGCATAGAGGACTCAAACGCATTGCCTCTATCTCTATGTAATGGTTATTTTCCCTAGTTACTACATTTGGCCATACTGGATTATGTTTGTCCTAACATGTGGTCAGCTTAAGGGAATTTAAGTACGGTTATTCAGTTGACCTCATTTAGAGTAGTGTATGGTTGTGCCTTGCATAGTGAAATTTTTAAGTAAAATGCTAGTAAACTGACAATGGACTCACCCGATTTTTGTTATACTTCACAAAGACCCATCAAGGTATAGCTTTCTACCACTAGTTGTGTTTTCTCTAAAGTTGTATGAATTGCTTTTCTAACTTTATCACTGCATTTGCGGAAAGGTCTGGGGTATAATTTTATGCATGTACTTTTATTATCATGTGGAACAAATTAATTTTGGTGATCTTTCTGAGTATGTAAAAGCTGAACCGATCTTGTTGGAAAATGACAGCAAATTCTTCTAGCGGTTAACACTATACATGAGGAACGTATTGTGCACTCTGACTTGAAGCCAGCCAACTTCCTTCTTGTCAAAGGCTCTCTAAAGCTAATTGATTTTGGGATTGCGAAAGCAATAATGAGTGATACAACGAACATCCAGAGGGATTCTCAGGTGATTATCACTTAGGCTCCCCCCTCCCTCTTCTTTTTGGGAACTTCAATCTGCTATATTTGGACATACCCATTGAGTACAATGCATATCCTATTTTTCTTGTTCCCTTGTTTAGAAAACATATATCTGCAACATCTAGAAGGGGTTTCTCACTTCGTTTTGTAATGGTAAATTGCATTTGTAATCACATGTTTAATGTAGCTCTTAGTATCTGCAATGTAAGCTGGGATGCTGTACGATTCTCTGTTCTAGCGATATGGCTCCTTAATTTATCATAACCAGACTGCTGAAGCGTGTTGGAGGTTATGGGATACCTCTTGTCTGTACTTTTGCTTAGTTCTTCTGTATGCTACGCATGCAGGTGGGTACACTTAGCTACATGTCTCCAGAAGCGTTCATGTGCAACGAGAGTGATGCAGATGGAAACACTATCAAGTGTGGTCGGCCATCAGACATCTGGTCGCTTGGCTGCATCCTTTATCAGATGGTATATGGGAGGACACCATTTGCAGACTACAAGACCTTCTGGGCCAAGTTCAAAGTTATAACTGATCCCAACCATGAAATCACATATGAACCAGTCTCAAACCCCTGGCTTATGGACCTCATGAAAAAGTGCCTCGCATGGGACCGCAACGAAAGGTGGAGGATACCTCAGCTACTCCAACACCCTTTCATTGTTCCCCCGGTTCCACAGCAGCCATCTTCGCCTTGCGAGGAAAACTGTAAACTGCTTCAACTTATTTCCCAAACCTGTGCTGACGATCGTGAGGCTTCCAAGCTATGCTGTCAGATGCAGCAACTGCTTAAGGACCCTGTCACATCAATAGGGTCTCAGTTAGTATCGTCACGAGACCTACAATGTAAATTGCTCTCCCAAATGACAAAACTTTGCCTTCAGCTCCAGGAACATTTAGCAAACTCAGAGGGATAAAAGGTGAAGTTGCAAGCAATATCATCACTCACAGTATCAGCTCCCATTTGTTGAGAAACTGGTATCCACTTTTGTCAGCTGATTCTTAGGGGAGAAACTCACTTGTAACCAAAGGCAACACTATATGCGGCAAGCATCTCCTGTTGGACGGGTGGTGCACTTTTTGAACACGTGGCAAACATTTATTGAATGAGTGATGCCACTAAGACTTTATCTTGGTTGCAAGAGAGAATCTTTCGATTTGTAGGCCCCTAGGGGAATCATATGCTTTGGATACCATAGTTCTCTTCTCTCTCTTTGTAATGCTGTGTAATATTCCTTGTGTGTTTATATTGTTTTGTTAAATATAAAAAGAAAATATGGTGAGAGTGATTGGCGTGGATGTTCATCATTTTGCCCTGTATGTAAACTACATGAACAATGTGGTTCATGAACTATCTGTGTTTTTTTTAGACAAAAATAACAATTACGTAGAAAAACCCTAGAGCAAGAAGATTATCTGTATTGGGTAACTTATTTTTATTTATTTTTTCCTTCTTTTGAGTTTTACCTTTTTATGATTGCTTGAGCGTGCTCGTACTTGGTAATGATAGTATCGAGAGTAAATAGATTGTGTCTAAAATTTATTAACTTCTAATCGAATGACTGCCTCGAGTGGGGAACTGGCTCGATTTGCTTCTTCTCTGTGCCTTCAGCATTAAACGGACTTAACAATTTTCTTATCCAAGGAATTAAACCACGATGAAACTTCTTTAAACATGCAGGAAAATTCTTTCTTGACGGGCAACTAAACTTGGGGCCTAACTCGTGAGATAATCTAAACCATGAGCCACGTGTTGGCAATTGATAGGAGCTTGGGAGGTCATTGCCATGATCGTCTCGGATTGTTGATCTCATCGTGATCAGGCATTTTTTCCTCTTGGTGTGAGCAGCAGGGCCAATACGTCGGTGAAATGAGAAATGAATAATGGTGTGTAGAGATATATTAAGAAATACTTGCCAATACAAAAGTTCAAGTGCGACCACCGGGTGCATATTTGCTCACCACTTTCAGTGATGGTAATACTCCCCACCCTATTCATCGCCCTTGAATAAGTTTAATTTTAAGATTTGTGTCTATCCACTACACAGATCTCAAAATTTTAAACTCATCTAAGAGTGATAAATAGAGTAACGGGCATCACCATACTTGCTTCTATAAGAATAGAGAATTGTTGAATCGTGCACTATAAACTTTCTAAATTTAAAAAGAAAAATTTGTTTGGAGTGCACGAGTAGGGTGGTGTGCACAAATCCAGAAACGAGTAAGCAAGTTTACAGGGAGCACAGCAGATGTCTTCTACTCTTCTGATGAAAGTTTATAAGAAGCTTCAGCGCGTGCTTCCTCCAGCCTCATCAATAGGTCCTTCATGAAAGGTGTGCTTGTCCCATGAGTAATCCGCAATATATCTACCGCCTTGGTCAGGGATTTGACAGCGTTCTCCGTGTCTCCTAGTAACCTGTATGCAAGAAATTAGTTTGTTTAGAGATTCACCAGAGAACTGTTACCACAATTCAAGCTAAAATACTAACCATTCGAGCTTCCCGCATGTATAATATTGCAATCCAAGCAAAGGATGACAAGCAGGATATACTCCTGCAGTGAATGGGAGTGAAACTCGACATTAACAGCAGTATTATCTGAAAGCAACAGTGTTACTTGACTTTCATTTACGAAGAATCAAACATTTAGTTCAAGAGCATATGGACCGCTACAGACAGATTCAACAATAATTCTGATCCACTTTCCTGAAATTTGTTTACGAGGTAAGTAAAGTTAAATTTTAAGTCCTTATGCTGCCTCATAAAAGACAATGCAATGAATTCAAATAAAGCAAAAGCGACTAAATATAAACTTCAAACTTGTACACAAAGCCTTGTAAGTTAGAGGTCTTCTCTCACAAGTGGAACACGCACTGGCCTCAATTGACTCAATCCACAATATTCTAACACCTTTCCCTTTCTTCCACCGAAACTTCAATTTATTTTCGATGCACTTTATAGGTATGCCCCTTGTCGAGCAACGAGAACAAAAGTAATAGTAATTTTTTTATCTAAAATGCACTACTTATAACCTACGGCACCAATTTGAACGGCCAAAAGTTAGGGGGAAAAGTACAGAAATTATACATGTCAATTGTGGAATCAAGTATGAACAACATAAACTTATAAACGATAAAAGAAATTGAAAAATTGAAGCAAGACATACTTTGATACACTGGAATGGTCAATCTGCAGTATGCTAAAGCTTCATTCCAGTCTTCCAGCTCCATCGAAATCTGAAGACAATATGATTTCATTAAAGCAAATGCATCAGGAAGTCACTGCACGCTACCTTACAGTGTTTGACGTTCTTGTGAAATTTGAATAACCACAATTTACTACTAGTTAAATTGAGTGTCCAAAATCATTGATCTCAAAATATTTTAACTCTTAATAATACAATGAACAGGGCCATCAAACCGAAAATAAGGAAATATTTTCAATGCTATGCAAAACAGATACCTTTAAAAGCTTCTCCCGAGTTTGCATCAAAGAGATTGAAAACGGATGATACAGTTTCTTCTGCAGTGTCTCAATTGCCTTAAGCCCAGATATAGCTTCCTGGTAATCTAAACATAGTCAACAGTATCAACTATCAATACATGGTGATGAGATCTTTCTGATGAAATTTGAGTTTAAAAATTAGAAGTCAGGAAATATTATAATAAAAATAACATCAGATTGCCAAAAAAATGCAAGCAATTCATGGCACAGAGAAAGAAGGATACCGCAAGAGGATGTAGATATAGGAGCCTTGTCTGACAATGATTTTAGTTCACTTGCTATCTTCCTTATCTCTTCTTTGCTCCTAACAAGTCCACATTGCTGGCACACGAACCCATCACCATCTGCACATCCAAATTGCAAAAGACAATCCATATTTGCTTCAGCTAGCCGCCCAACTCTTATTTTCATTTAAATTCACCCAACCAATTTTACTACAGGTAATACCGTACCAGGTTGGCGAATCGAAAAGCCACTGCATCCCTTATCCTTGCATCGGTAACCTTCAAGACTGGCACTCTCTTGGATATCATCATACTGACCCTTCAATACAAAATTCAATTCCATCAGAAAAAGACAAGTTCTATATAACTCACAAGTAACATTCTCAAAATAAAGTATTGAAAGAAGGAATAGTCACAAGTACCACTTTAATGCAGCGGGGACATGTACAAGTGAAATGGTATTGTTCTTTAAGTGCCTTCTGCCGAGTCATAGTGCTTCCAGCAGTTTCTATGTAACTTATCAACACCTTAAGAACAAAAGAGAAGACTTTAGACTTGACATGCAGTCAAAGATTATGCAGTAACAGGATGCCAAGCAACTTTACTTCACGAAAATGGAAGACACAAAACATCTTCAGTGTAGGTTCAAAACATGTTACAGAATCTGTATAACTATATGCAATGATGGAAAATAAATTGTTAAATATTGGTCAATAATAAAGTTTCTCATTCATTCTGTTAAAACACTTCAAGGGATTGCCGAAGAAGAAGCCCCCTTACTCTAGGTTGATGAAGGGCAAATCAGCTCTCCTTCAATGTAATATATAATTATGCAAGCAGTCAGGCCTACTATTTATTGCGTTATGATGAAGAATACATCTCAAAAGTTCCAACACATAGACCCTTTAAACCACAATGACCAAAAATATTACCTCAGCATCTTTGGGTATATACTGCACAGCACGTACAACAGCAGATCGTCCCTCAAATAACAAAACAGAATTGGGCAGGCAGCTACAGCAGTAGAACCATTTAGCCAAAGTACAGCAAGAGAGTAAAACTAAAAGCACATCAATCCACTAAAACAGTTACCTGTGGTTAATAATGGAGACGACAGGATATAGCCCAGTGCCCAGGGGTCTCAATTCACTGTCACAAATTGTGTGTGCATTGCATGCAAGCTGCATGGATTGAGGAGAATCAAGTTTCAGATAGATTTCACTCAAATATAAATCGCCCAAGTGGAGACAAACTGTGAGCGTCTTTAGTTATATAAACAGTACATGGGTCATTTACTAAAAGGATTTCTGGAAATCATGCAGACAAAAGCACAGCAATACAATTATACAAATTTATAGTTACTCCCACACCAGATGAACTTCGCATTGGTTGAGCTGGATATTCGCCAATTTGACGTTATAACTTAACTTCTCATTATTAAAACAGAATCTGAAATTGCTTATAAAGATCACCTTGGAAAAGTTTTCTGCAATCTCCTTTATATTAATATCGGGCCACTGAAGTATCAAGCTGACAAGGTTAGCCATCTGAGCATACAGCACCAGCTGCTTCTCATCAATCTCTGACATGTCTTCATTAATCGAAAAGAAAAACAGAAAACAAGAGTTAAATAAAACAGTAAACAGATTCAACAAGAAACAAATCTTAATCGGAAAAAGCCGAAAAGGATACGAGCAACTAACGCCTCCACCAACTTATAGTTGTCCACAGCAGCAGAAGGAATGATCTGAAGCAAAAGATTAACAAGCATTAATCTATCAAACCCAAAAAAGAAATTAAAAATTAACAAAAACCCAAAACTAAAAATTGAATCTTTACCTTCTCAGCTTGCAATTTGGTACGGAGGTAGAGCTTGAGCATGAGACGAATCGACGGCGTGACGGCCATCCGTCTCTCCTTCTGAAGCTTCGAGAGAGCTTCACATTCCAGATGATGCAGCTTCCATTCAGACTTCTGCAAATTACCAAAGCCCAAGACTTCAACGAAAGCGACCAAAACTCCATGAGTGCAATGCAATCCCTAATCCGAAACCCTAGCGCTTACCTGGCATGAGCTGCAACAGTAGTATACAACCTGACAAGCCGAGCATTTCTTGAGATTACTCGATTGGAAGCAAGCGTCGCACCTGGATTCCGCCAGGGAGTTGTTCGGCACGCAAACGTACGGCTCCTGGAGGATTATCACTTCCCCTGCAGTTCAAAACCTCCATTGTTGATGTTCTGAAGCAGCAGAGCTAGAGAGAGAGAGAGAGGGAGGAGAGAGAGAGAGCACCTGGAGAGAAGTCTCTGGTGGTGAAGAGGGAGCGGCCTTTGTCCGGAAGATTCGAAACGGTTAAGCCACGATTTTCAAGAGCTCTCTGCAATTCTTCCATGAGCGCCGTTCTGTGTTTTGCTTGCTCTTCACCGCCGAACGCCGTCACTGGTGGTGAAGTTTGATAGAGCAAATGATTTATTTTCGGGTAAATTCGGGTTTGCCTCTGGATTTTTATGGTAAATTACAATTTAAGGGAAAAAAATCCATCATCCTAATCTGTGCAAATCATCTTCCTAGTCAATCTCTCCCCAACCAAGTAACTAAGCTCATCTCCATCTGAAATGGCTTAA